ATTAAAACAAGGGCTTCTTCATCCTTCCACATCTGCCCTTCGAGATTAATGGTCTGAATGACAAACCCTGTTCAATTATACCAAACACTATGACGTTGGAATCCTTCCCACTTCTTCAAACCTCTAAATACTCTTTGTATTCACTATGGGATTTTTTTTAGTTGTTCTATCCTGTGTTTACATGATTTTTCCAAAGACAGACTACAATAGCTGTTCCCCAAAATATTCTGTGAACTGTACTAAAAGAATTACTTATTCAGTGTTCCCCAAAATATTCTGTGAACTGTATGAACTGTACTAAAAAAATTACTTATTCACCCCTAGACATCTCCTGGGTGGAACATCTTTGAAGCGTAACAGTGCAAAACATCCACAAGCTTGGAAAAACACCTCAAACAACTATTCAACTTAATGTGCAACATGACTATGTAAACCGTGGCTTACATAAAAATGGAGGAAGGAGAAGAGAGAGAGAGAGAGAGAGAAAGGACAAAACTTGAAACTTGAGGGCCTGAGACATTCTCTCCAAAGGAATCCTCACAATAAGGTAGCACTGTGAAAATTTTAAAATTACTAGAACTTCCTACTTGCTTAACTTTGCAGCCGCACTGTAAAAAAGCAGAGAATCTGATTGCGGTCAGGAACCATTTGCAAAATCAGATTATGCTACCATGCTGGCCCTAACTACACCACGTGGTAATAACAATTACAGCCACGTCAGGATCTCCTCCTCAAATGTATTATCCATGATTTACCTAAAGGGTAAAAATGATCTACTGTTCCCTGTTCCCTCTATCTAAAGGCCATCTTGCTCCAGAACTGATCTGTCCGTTTCTCTGCCCCAAATGAACAGATCACCTTTCTGGATGCTCAGGGAGCTCCTTGCCCTTTCCCACTGCTTTCTCTGGAACAAGGCAGAAAACCTCAGACGTGTCTTTAGAAAACGCACTGTTTCTGTGTTCCCAGCACACAGTAACATAACATATTAATGGGAATAAGAACAGGTTTATACCTGTGCAGAATTACAATTGAAGCGTATCAGAATGAAGGTAGCCCAATAACAAATAAAATTAGATCTTCAACTGAACAAGATAGAGAAAGGAGACTTTTTCAAAAATTAAAGGATAAAAGAAAGAGAACCAGCTGAAAAGACACAGAAATTTATTCGTATGATGTGAACCTTCATATGTTTAGTCAAGAAGCCTGCTAGCTGACCCAGTGGTGAACAGAGAGATCCAGAAAACAAATGGTGTTTCTTGACTGATATCACGTCTAAAGTTTTTCAGACAATTAAGCCACATATTCCACTCAAAACTTCTAGCAACCCATCCACTTTTAACATACTGTGAGTTTAAACTTCTCTTCCTGTTGTGAAAACAATCATGGAAGTATAAATTACTGTCTAAAGGTGAGTGAAAATAAGCTGTTTTATTAAGATGAAAATTTGATTATTAAACTGAATTGTGAGTTAAATAAGACAATAAATCTAATTGCAGAGTCTAGTTGGAGACCTGTTGCTAGCGGTGTCGCCCAGGGGTCAGTCCTTGGTCCAGTCCTGTTCAATTTATTCATCAATGACCTGGATGAAGGCACAGAGTGCTCCCTCAGCAAGTTTGCTGATGATACCAAACTGGGAGGAGTAGCTGATACCCCAGAGGGCTGCGCTGCCATCCAGAGGGACCTGGACAGACTGGACAACTGGGCAGTGAAAAACCTCATGCAATTCAACAAGGCCAAGTGCAAGGTCCTGCACCTGGAGAGGAATAACCCCAGACACCAGTACAGGCTGGGGACCGACCTTCTGGAGAGCAGCTCTGCAGAGAAAGACCTGGCTGTCATAGTGGATGATAAGTTGACCATGAGGCAGCAGTGTGCCCTCGTGGCCAAGAAGGCCAATGGAATCCTGGGCTGCATTAAGAAGAGC